TAAGCTGCTGGTCTTCGAGCTAATTGTAAAGCTCTTACAAATATTAGACCAATTTATTGGAACTTTTGAGACTTACTTGCCTTGCCTTACTTGTGTGTGCTTTGATAAGTGTATAACCTTCTAGCGCCTCACGGGCAGCTTGGATTGTATACTCCCCAGGGAGCTGAGAATGACAATCGAGGGCATCTATCTATCTATCTATCTATCTATCTTTATTTATTTATTTATTTATTTATTTATTTATTTATTTATTTATTTAATTAATTAATTAATTAATTAATTAATTAATTAATTAATTAATTAATTAATTAATTAATTAATTAATTAATTATTTATTTATTTATTTATTTATTTATTTATTTATTATAGAAGCAATTTTTCAGCGCACCAGCACAGGTTATACACTCGATATATCATTTAAGACGATGTTACTTTAATGGTCTGACAGTATCCCTCCAAACAATCTTATAGCAGTACGTTTATCGAACAACGGATAACTCGAGGTACAATTATATATCGAATTAACGAGGTTTCACTGACCGCCTTCGTGGTGTAGTTGATAGAGCACCCACCCGGAGAGCGAAAGATCGGTGGTTCGATCCCAAAAGACCCTGAAAGATGGTACTTGTTTGTATCCATGTTAAATTGCGACATGGTATCTCGGTGACCCAGCGACCTAAAACCGGCATTAGTCCGGACGAGTACAGACCCGTGAAGATCCGGGTAGAATAGGTCTTCAGCGACCCATGCTTCCCGTAAAAGGCGACTATGCTTGTCGTAAGAGGCGACTTACGCGATCGGGTGGTCAAGCTCGCTGACTTGGTTGAAGCATGTCATCGATCCCAATTGCGTGGATCGATGCTCATTACATTAATAACTGGATTGTCTGGTCCAGACTCGATCATTTACAGACCGCCGTCATATGGCTGGAATATTGGAATAGTGCGGCGTTAAACAACCAACCAACCGGACAAGTACAAGCAGACTCACACGTTACTGTATAAGTTAAATAATCTTGAACGCGACGTTAAAGCCCATGATGACAATCACTAGTTTGTCTGATCCAGACTCGATTATTTACAGACCGCCATCATATAGCTGAAATATTGCTGAGTGCGGCGTGAAACAACAACAACAACAACAACAACAACAACAACAACACCCTACTGCATATCCTTATTCATTGTTCAAAGTTTTCAACCCCGCTTTGTATTCACAACAAAGGCGCATCTGAATTTTTTTTTAAACTTGAGATGGAAAGGAAAAAACATATGTTTAAAAAAATCTAATTCTTTACATGTAATGATAAAATATGCGGACCAGTCAAAAAAAAAGGTTTTTCCTTAAACCTGACGAAAATCGTGATGCTATGATAAGGCATATTCCAAGTTTGCATCGACACCAAGATGCACTTAAATTTCTAAATCTCGTTGAACCAAAAGCACTTTCATTAATCAGTAATGCTATTTATCTTATTTTTTATTGAGAAAAATGATTGTGCTTGAACATCGTTGATTACTGGGAAGCTAAAGTTTATTCAATGACGGACATGGGATGTTTCACTGAAGTAGGCAGTGTTTCACACAACACATGTAGTCATTACATTAAGTGCTGTGCTGGAAATGAGCGTGCACGCTCTTTCACCACGTGCATACAGGCACGAAAGGTAATCGCAGTTCTAACGCGCATGGTTAGAAATAAACTCCACATTTAGATCGGAAGAGTTAGTCCAAACTTCATTGGAATCCCACCTCTGTTAAAAGAACTCGGCAAACCGATGAAAACATCTCTGGGTACCAATTCTGGGAAATTGAATTTGCACTTTTTAGAGCAAAGTGTTTAATTTTGTATGGCAGACCAGCTGGGCCACTGAACATCCACGTTGTTCAAAGAATGAAACTAAGTTGAATAAGACCTTACTTTTCAAGGCTGCATGTTGAAAGGAGTCTGGCTAATACTTAACGATATCGTTTAATCACATAAACCATAGGCTTGGCAATACTTTCTCAGCCTTGTTTCAATACGTTATTGATTGTTTGGCCTGTACAATAACACAATTGGTTTCCGTGGAACGTACACAAAATTAAACCACCACCCCCCACCCCACACCCCACCCCACGTAAGTAAACCCTGCCACACCTCAAACCTTTCACATCACCTTCTGTACATTTTTTATTTGGAAAGAATTATGACCAGAAAGAATCTGATTTTTTTTTAAATATACCGTCAGAAAACCTTGATGCAACTTTAGACCAATTTAAATACACCAACATTAAACCGAACATGAAAATATGACGTTTTAACGTGGCGTTCGAGATTACTAGACTGATATTGCGACGTGTGTGTGTCTGTTTATACTAGTACGGACTAATGCCGGTTTTATAGTGCTAACTCACTGAGACACCATTCCGCAGTTAAACATGGATACCCTACGCCAGGCAGGGTAACAACAAGCCCCATCCTTTTAGGTCTTTTGGGATCGAACCTAGTACCTTCCGCTCTATGGGCAGACGTTCTATCCACTACACCACTGAGACGGGTAATCAAATGTGTGAATACTTGAGTTATTTGTTTCTAATAAATCCCCTAGTAATCAATAAAGATGAGGATATATTTGTCAAAGTCATCTCAAATACCCGCAAAAACATCAATCGGAGGACCAATAACTAAATAGTCACGATTTTTAATCCATTAAATCCAGTGACAGATATGTATTGATTGACTTTTATTTGTTCGGGGTAGAATATCCATTTTATCATCCTGCCTTCAAGCGGCATAGCCCGTTCGGTATACACGCTACAGGTTGTCAAAGAGTGTTTTTTTTCATTTTTCATGTGTACTTTTTGTCGAGTTCTTCTTATGGATCTTATGATAAACGAGTGAATTTCCGAAGTCTGTAACGGCACGTTGATTCTCGAAAATGGCGAGACGCTCCACCGGCCAAGTCGTTTGTAAATATGTTTTGTAGACCATAAAACAGTATGGTATTTGATTGAAGACCAACTTTTCACTCATATATAGGTGTGGTGTGAGGAAACTGTTGAAACGGCAATAACTTTAATATAAAATGTTGGTAAAAACTGTTTCCTTTTCCATTACAAATATTGAATGCACGTTCCAAGGAAACCGTTTCTGTTTAGATTGCAGTTTATACAGATGTAATACAAGTTTCAGAACAAAACTGTGTGGCAGGCAATTGCCTTGTGTCGTGTAACATTTTGTGTTAGATTTATCTCAAAAAGTTGTTCGTCTTAATCTTATATCTGATGTCATCGTATTCTTATGGCGTTCGTTAACTTTATTGCTTACGTATGAATTTGTGCTTGATTAAAGAATCGACTATACGTAAGAACATTTCATTCCTGTTAATTTCCAAATAACAATTTATGTAAACACTGCACACATTTCCGTGTATAAGGGACTGGTAATTTATTATGGGGGGTGGGGGGTGGGTTGTGGGGGGTTGGTCTAAGGACTGTATCATAATTTTACAAAGGTAAAAAACAATTTTATGTAATATATTGTCGTGCCCCCACCAAGTTGCATGTAGCATTTTTTTCCTGACCAGTCCCCATCAGTACCTTTGAATCCTTAGTATCAGTTGGGTCATGATTGATGATCTTGAATCTGTACTTGTGTATCTGAAGTACCAGTTGTGTGATGATTGATCATCTTGAATCTGTTATTGTGTATCTGAAGTATCAGTTGGGTCATGGTTGATCATCTTGAATCTGTAATTGTGTATCTTAAGTACCAGTTGTGTCATGATTGATCATCTTGAATCTGTACTTGTGTATCTTAAGTACCAGTTGGGTCATGATTGATAATCTTGAATCTGTACTTGTGTATCTTAAGTACCAGTTGTGTCATGATTGATCATCTTGAATCTGTACTTGTGTATCTTAAGTACCAGTTGGGTCATGGTTGATCATCTTGAATCTGTAATTGTGTATCTTAAGTACCAGTTGTGTCATGATTGATCATCTTGAATCTGTACTTGTGTATCTTAAGTACCAGTTGGGTCATGATTGATAATCTTGAATCTGTACTTGTGTATCTGAAGTACCAGTTGGGTGATGATTGATCATCTTGAATCTGTTATTGTGTATCTGAAGTATCAGTTGGGTCATGGTTGATCATCTTGAATCTGTAATTGTGTATCTTAAGTACCAGTTGGGTCATGATTGATCATCTTGAATCTGTTCTTGTGTATCTTAAGTACCAGTTGGGTCATGATTGATAATCTTGAATCTGTTATTGTGTATCTGAAGTATCAGTTGGGTCATGGTTGATCATCTTGAATCTGTAATTGTGTATCTTAAGTACCAGTTGTGTCATGGTTGATCATCTTGAATCTGTTCTTGTGTATCTTAAGTACGAGTTGGGTCATGATTGATAATATTGAATCTGTACTTGTGTATCTTAAGTACCAGTTGTGTCATGATTGATCATCTTGAATCTGTACTTGTGTATCTTAAGTACCAGTTGGGTCATGATTGATCATCTTGAATCTGTACTTGTGTATCTGAAGTACCAGTTGGGTCATGATTGACCATCTTGAATCTGTACGTGTGCATCTGAAGTACCAGTTGTGTCATGGTTGATCATCTTGAATCTGTACGTGTGTATCTAAAGTACCAGTTGTGTGATGATTGATCATCTTGAATCTGTAATTGTGTATCTTAAGTATCAGCTCTGTCATTATTTAACATTTTGAATCTGTACTTGTGTATCTTAAGTACCGGTTGAATCATGATTGATCATCTTGAATCTGTAATTGTGTAACTGAACCAGTTGTGTGATGATTGCGTATATTGAATCTGTAATTGTCCCATTGACTTTACCCGTGTGTGTCTGAACTAAAGGATATGCGATGATAAACCCTATAAAAATTCAGGTGTGCATCTGAAGTAATGGATTTGTCAGCATTAACCCTTTTGACTTTACACGTGAGCATCTGAAGTACTGGATGTGTCATGATTTAGCATCTGAAGATTTAGGGTTGTATGTTTCAGGTGTTTGATGCCTTTATCGTCATCGTGTCTTTTGTCGTGGATCTGGTGTTCCTCAATCGCCTCCCCAACTACAAGATCCAGGACTTCGTCTTCATCCTGGCCTTCCTCCTGCCATGGAGGGTTATACGAGTTGTCAACAGTGAGTAGAGATTAAATTACGATTTGTCAACAGTAAGCAGAGATAAAATTACGATTTGTCAACAGAAAGTAGAGATTTAATAACGATTTGTCAAGAGAAAGTAGAGATTTAATTACGATTTGTCACCTGAAAGAAGAGATTACAGAACGAGTTGTCAAGAGAAAGTAGAGATTAAATTACGATTTGACAACAGAATCTGGAGATTAAATTACGATTTGTCAACCGAAAGTAGAGATTAAATTACGATTTGTCAACAGAAAGTAGAGATTAAATTACGATTTGTCAACAGAAAGTAGAGATTAAAATACGATTTGTCAACTGAAAGTAGAGAGATTTCAGAACGAGTTGTCATCAGTAAGTAGAGATTAAATTACGATTTGTCAACAGAAAGTAGAGATTAAATTACGATTTGTCAACAGAAAGTAGAGATTAAATTACGATTTGTCAACAGAAAGTTGAGATTACAGAACAAGTTGTCAAGAGAAAGTAGAGATTAAATTACGATTTGTCAACAGAAAGTAGAGATTACATTACGATTTGTCAACAGAAAGTAGAGATGAAATTACGATTTGTCAACCGAAAGTAGAGATTAAAATACGATTTGTCGACTGAAAGAAGAGATTACAGAACGAGTTGTCAAGAGAAAGTAGAGATTAAATTACGATTTGTCAAAAGAAAGTAGAGATTGAATTACGATTTGTCAACAGAAAGTAGAGATAACAGAAAGAGATGAAAACAGTAAGTAGAGATTAAATTACGATTTGCCAACAGTATGTAGAGATTACAGTACGAGTTGTCACGAGTGCTGGAAAAGGCTACTTAAAACACAGAACTGAACGCAACCAGTGGTTTTAGCCAATGCACGTGCAATACATGACAAGGAACAGTCAATGCGGGTATAGAATGGTTCATTCCAGATGCAACTCAACTGCATTCGTAGATGTCCACTAGGTTCCCTTACCATCGCGAGAACCGGGAGTCCCTTCGCGTCTATCTTATTCCGCGAAGTAAATGGCATACCGTCCTAATTTAATTACACCGCGGAAAACAAGGCTATCCAGTCGACAAATGTGTACGAACAATCAACATTCACAACCTTGTGTTGTCCGTCTTGCGTAACGAGAGCCATTAACCGCGTGTGTGGTGTTTACAGAGTCCAAATTCCGCCATCAAAATGATGGAAACCTGTAAGTTTCTCCCGGACGGATTTCTCCCTCCCCACCACAGCACTATTTCAGATGGATGGGCTAAATTCTGTGTTTAATTACACACGGAACTTGGAGCAAGCTCGTATCTGGGCACATGAACACAAATCAATAGAGAGGTTTTGAAAAAAAAAACATCTCCAGGACTTCATTAGTTTGCTTAGCAAACTTTAACGACTTCACAGAAACGGATCTAGGTTTGGGCGCAATGCGCGCGCATATTTCAGCCAATCATCGACGGCCCACTGCGGCCATTTTCCCTATTTGGACATGGCGGCTCGTGTCGTTTATATCCATCGGCCGGAGCAGTGGGATTGTAAAATCAATAACTGATCCAAATAGGTCAGTGGTATTGCCTGCCTAAATATTGAAATGCCGCTAAGAGAAGGTTCGGCTTCTGTATACTATTCCTAGAGCTACGTATGATCGATGAGATCCAGTGTAGACCAAGGTTTAGAAGAGCTTGGAAAGAAGTGTTTGTCCGACAAGGTTGAACATGATATTGGATATCCGCTCATTTGCATACGGTGTCGCCGCTGCTCGCCGCTAATAGATATCCCAACTGGGTAAATCGATGCTCATGATATCAATCATTTGGTTGTCTGGTCCAGACTCGATTATTTACAGACCGCCTTCATACAGCTGGAATAACGCTGAGGGCGGCGATGAACAACAAGCAAACAAACTGTTCTTAAGTCAATATCAGTTCATGTTATCGGTAACGCCCTCTACACGAGAACACATCGTCGTCAGCATAGTTGCTCATTTCAAGGTAATAATGGTTTAAACTTATACACCGTCAATGACCACGTCCGCCCACTCCTTCTTCATGGTTATGTTGTCTCTTCAGAGTAGGACGCCCTACTCGTTAAAGCGTTCGCTCGTCACGCCGTCAAGGTTCGATTGATTGAAGGGTAAATTGTGAGAATACTGTCCGCGTCGTGCTAGCCCTGGACTAAAAACGTCATTCCATCAAAATGTAGCGTAGTGACTCATACTCGTTCAGTCATGTTAAATTTAACTTTCGTTTTTAATAATCGTCACAAGGATAGAACGTTAAACACATAAACTTTCTACACTCAATGTTTAAAAGGTCTGTAACCTATGTCGCCTTCTGAAGAAAAATAGCGGTTTATTTTGATACAGCACGTCAATGACGGTGGTACCAGCGTGATAAACAGCAATAAGCCATATTGAAAATAGCAGTGATTGGGAACGACACTGGTACGCCTTCGTGCAAGAAAACCATTAAGTTCGTCACATATTTATGGACAGTGACTGTCAGGTGAAGCTCTTCATGCTAGGTAATTAAGCACATAATTGAAGGTTATCTAACTCAACGGGCCATTTGACTTGACATTGCCGACAGAAAAACTTCTCATTAATCGAGATTTCTGTGACTATTTTTTGCCCAGGTATTTAGGCCTATAATATAATATTTGGCTTGCGAAATTTTATATTTTTTTGTGTCGAAATAAAAAAAAACCATTAAAATGTTGATTTTGAGAAATGATCTCGAAATTGTATTGCCTGTAAGGGAAATTACGAAAAAAGAAAAGAACAGAAAACGATTTATTTATGACAAGTGAAAGGCTTCTTACTTTGACCTGTTTTAATCAACAAATAATTAACACATTCGGAAAAAGAAAGAATTCCAAAAATGTTTGGTCGAGGGATTTATGGATAAAACAGTGATAGCAGTGGGATTAAATTAGTTAGAAAGACTTACATTAATTACAAATACAACAAAAGAAACATAAACATAAACAAAGGAGAAATTATACAATGGTATTGGTTGCTGTTACAGGTGTGTGGGAAGTACTGTCCTTGTCACTCAGTGGTGTTAAATGCATGTTGTGTGACAATCCTATTAATCAATGATGTAAGGAGGAGTAAAGAACCTGAGAGAAAGAGAGAGAGAGAAATAGAGAGACAGAGAGAGAGACAGAGAGAGAGAGAATAGCAGATAGATAGGTGTGTGGGATGTACTGTCCTCGTCACTCAGTGATGTTAAATGCATGTTGTGTGACAATCCTATTAATCAATGATGTAAGGAGTAGTAAAGAACCTGAGAGAAATAGAGAGAGAGAGAGAAATAGAGAGAGAGAGAGAATAGCAGATAGATATATGTGTGGGATAGATAGATAGATAGATGTACTGTCCTTGTCACTCAGTGATGTTAAATGCATGTTTTGTGACAATCCTATTAATCAATGATGTAAGGAGGAGTAAAGAACCTGAGAGAAAGAGAGAAATAGAGAGCGAGAGAGAGAATAGCAGATAGATAGATGTGTGGGATAGATAGATAGATAGATGTACTGTCCTTATAGATAGATAGATAGATAGATAGATAGATAGATGTACTGTCCTTGTCACTCAGTGATGTTAAATGCATGTTTTGTGACAATCATATTAATCAATGATGTAAGGAGGAGTAAAGAACATGGGAGAAAGAGAGAAATAGAGAGAGAGAGGGGAGAGAGAGAGAGGGGAGAGAGAGAGAAATAGAGAGATGTAGAGAGAGAAAGAGGGAGAGAGAAAGAGAGGAGGAGAGAAAGTGAGAGGGAGGAGAGAGAGAGAAGGAGAAGGAGAGGGAGGGAGAAAGAGAGAATGAGAAAGAGAGAGAGAAAGAAAAAAAAGAGAAAAAGAAGGAGAGAGGGAGAAAGTGAGAATAAGAGAGAGAATGAGAAAGAAAGAAAGAAAGAGAGGAGAAAGCGAGAAAGTGAGAGGGAGAGAGAGAGAATAGCAGATAGATAGATAGGTGTGTGGGATGTACTGTCCTTGTCACTCAGTGATGTTAAATGCATGTTGTGTGACAATCCTATTAATCAATGATGTAAGGAGGAGTAAAGAACCTGAGAGAAAGAGAGAGAGAGAGAGAGAAATAGAGAGAGAGAGGGAGAGAGAGGGAAATAGAGAGAGAGAGAGAGAAATAGAGAGAGAGAGGGAGAGAGAGAATAGCAGATAGGTGTGTGGGATGTACTGTCCTTGTCACTCAGTGATGTTAAATGCATGTTGTGTGACAATGCTATTAATCAATGATGTAAGGAGGAGTAAAGAACCTGAGAGAAATAGAGAGAGAGAGAGAGAGAGAAATAGAGAGAGAGAGGGAGAGAGAGAATAGCAGATAGATAGACGGTGGGATGTACTGTCCTCATCGCTCAGTGATGTTAAATGCATGTTGTGTGACAATCCTATTAATCAATGATGTAAGGAGGAGTAAAGAACCCGAGGGGAAAAAGAAAGTAGACCGACTTTATTTTTTAAGTAATTAATTAAACAGTGAAAGAACCATTTATTTAACCATCACACATTTCTGCAACAATTTGTAAAAGTAATCAGTGGCTGGGTAATTATTTGTAAAAAATATATTGTTTCAATAAAAGCAAAATTTATCCATGTAGAATTATTCTTTATTACAGTTCATATATTGGATCAAACTTCGCAAACTTATATTTTCAGTTGAAAATCAAAACATATTATAAAAAACTGAGAGGTACAGCTTCATTTGCTCCTCAGTTTACAAAACGTCAACACCACAGAATAACAAGTGTCCATTATCCGCCGAAAAAGATTCCATTGGACGAAAAAGGCAAAATAACGGTACAAATTATATGAGTAGATCACTGAAAAGCTGTGATGACACCAGGTGTTGGCGGAAAGGTTAACCACGAGTACCCAACAACGCCCAAGACAAATTGTGGCATGGTTTAATATCTTATTGAAACCTTATTTCAGGTAGAATTGGGGTAAGCCGAGTGAGCAATATATAAGATATTTTGTAGATGTATATGATCTGGACATCTTCGTCTGAACTTCACATTTGTCCCAAAGTGCAAATCTTGATCACGGAGACACCAAAGATGATCTCCGCGTTGCGTTTTGTGTACGGTAAAATAGGGTTTAACGTCGCGTGCAAGATTAGTGTGTGTGTGTGTGTGTGTGTGTGTGTGTGTGTGTGTGTGTGTGTGTGTGTGTGTGTGTGTGTGTGTGTGTGTGTGTGTGTATGTGTGTGTGTTGCTGCTTGTACTAGTCCGGATTTTATAGAGCTAGCCCAGAGATACCATGCTGCAGTTTAACAGGAATATCCAATTCAGACACAGTATACTGACTGCGACTCGGCCAGTCCTTGTGTTATCCTCACAATGCCGAGCGTCAGGCTTGGTAACAAGAAGTAACACGTTTGACGTATTTTGGTGTTACGCGGCCGGGGATCGAATCGGAGCGTGTGGACGCTCTACCACTAGACCACGGAGGCGGTCGTTTTGTGTACGCGTTACATGGAGTAAAGTTGTGATGTTTACGCTTTCCTTTTAACATGCCCTGTTTCGTTTCAGGTTTGGTGGTTGCTGTGAAAGATCACGAGCACTTCCGGTTGAAGCTTGTGTATAGCCGGAAGAAGAAAATACAGAACAGCCTGAGGGACACAGAGATTAAACTGCAAATATTTAGGGTGAGGAAATATATCTGACCGGCAAGGATTGCCGGATTGCAAGCCTTCACCAATGGTCATCTCTGGACATCAACGGTTATTCTATATATATATAGAGATAATCAGACATACTTGCCCTAAAAGGCGACTATGCTTGTCGTAAAAGGCGACTGACGGGATCGGGTGGTCTGGCTCGCTGCATGTCATCGATCCCAATTGCGTGGATTGATGCTCATGATGTCAATCACTGGATTGCCTGGTCCAGACTCGATAATTTACAGTCCGCCGTCATACAGCTGGAATATTGCTGAGTGCGGCGTTTAACAACAAACAGACAAACAAACACAGGTAATCGGATGAAAACACCTGTCAATATTTGTAATGGACCGATCAGTTGATATTATTGGAAAGGGGGATTTTATCGACAAAAGACATTGTTGCAAGATGTTGTGAATTTTTAACATTTCGGATCGTATACCTAATTATAATAATCTCTGGTATTGCAGCTGTAACTGGAAAATATCTAGTCTCAGTACAAAATCCCTGGCTCCCACAAGCCACACAACACCCTACTCCTCAAAAGAATATCAAATGGACGGCCCCTTAAGGAATGGTTTGTGTGTGTAAATCGGAACCACTCGATTCATTGTCCTTCCAGTGCATTCGTGACCAACTCGTGTCATTCCGGGTCAAGCCGAATGAATGCCTTCGTGTAGGTTACGGAAAATGCGAGTGTTTGTGTTGTAAGGGAGGTAATTCTTTTTCAGGTTTGTTCCTTGCTTCACAACCAAAATATAGTTGCTGGTTTTTATTTTCTATTTTCTACGCATTTCTAATGGCATGAATTGTTATATATGCATGCAATTTTAAAGATACTTCTCTGTGAAAGACACCCTGTAAACAACTTTAGCCTCAACATGCCCAATGCGTCTTAAACTACTGTTCTGTTGCATCTCGTTTGATGAAACAGTTTCGGATAAACACCTGCATATTTACTGGTATACTGACCGAAGCACTTATATTACTGAAAGCACTAAAATAATTGCGAAGAGGTCACTGTAGACAGGTCATTTTACACCTCAAACTGATATAGTACTGTAAAATACCAAACGTATATACTCTGCAAAAGAAGAAACGCAAAAGTAGTAAAATCGTAAATATCTGACAGAGCGTTGCTGACATCCATTCAAAATTAATACCGCAACGTAATTGGTCCCATGGATTGGGATTGATTTGTGTAGAAACAATGAGGTACTGCAGAAATTTGGTGAAAAGATCGAAAAAACACAACTACGTGAGCGCCTGGCGTCGAAACACACCAACATGACATGCACGTGCAACATCACTTGTTGGACTTTAAAAACTTGGGTTTTTATTTGCATGCCATAACAATCTTACAGCAATTGAATAGCGAAAACATGCCACGACTGACGGAAGCCCAACCCAGCAACGCCATCGGCCGACTGCAAACAGGAGAATCATCTTCAGCTGTAGCCAGGTTCGTTTTTTTCACGTAGCACCAAGCACCATTACAAGAATGTGGAGCCGTTATCAGACACGAGGGACAACACGTGACCTTCCCAGATCCGGTCGACTACGTATCACTACTAGAGCTTAGGACAGATTCATACGGCGACGTCGTGTTTATAGGCGTTGCGGAGAACGTTATGCACGAAACTGCATACAGGAAGTGGACAGATTTGATGGTGGTAGCGTCATGATGTGGGCTGCCATCTCCTACACTTGGTGCAAGTTCTGGGGAATTTTACGGCACAACGTTACCTGAATGAGATTCTTCGGCCACACATCCTTCCCATTATGCAACAAGCGAGAGTTATTCCCCAACATTACAACGCCTGACCTCACACGGCAAGACTGACAACAGCCTTTTTCGGGAATTACAACAACCAGGTCTTGTCATTGCCCTCCAGGTCTCGTGATTTAAACCCAATCGAACATTCATGGGGCGCACTGGATCAACGACTGTGAGCACGTCAGCAACAACTACAGAACCTCCGACATATGGCACAAGCACTGCTGGGAAAGTGGGTGAACATTCCCCCCGCCACAATTCGGGATCCAATTGCTTCCATGGGACGACGATGCCAGTCAGTTTGGGACCCTAATGTTGGCTATAAACAAAATTGAAAAAATATTATTTTCCCCTTGAAAATCTTCTGTTCAATGTATGCCATATGGAACCTGGGTCATTGACATGATGTGTGTCAATTTTGATTATTTTACGGATATATGAAATATGCATCTAAAATCACTTTTAATTTGGTTTTTTTTTTCAAATTATTTTTAAATTTGAGAAAAAAATGAGTAAAATTTATAATTGTCCGCGTAACGTCCATGTGGTGGTCTTCATTATTCACCATGGACAACGTTAGAAACTCCTCCAGTTCTTTCAACGTTTTAATATGACCTCACCATGAAAGTGTTTACGAGACAATAAATGGCATCTGTTATTTTTAATGTCCGGTTTTACCCATGCGTAGATAGGTGGGATTTTTTACCTTGTCTTTAGATGCTGTACTTTCGTTCCTTAATATCGGTTCTAATGCATCTTGGCACAAAGACTATAAATTTGTGTTATTTCTATTCTTTCCTTCTCAATGCAATCTAGCACCAAGATGATATATTTGTGTTCTCTTTCAGTCCCAATGCAACGCTTTACGTAAACTATGCATCACTGAGGGGGTGGATGAGTGGAGGGTGGAACAGCTTCTTCGTATTGACGAATACGTCGTCAGTAAGTACCCCCTTCCTTACTCCTTACAGAGGGGGTGGCATATGAACGGAACAGTGACTTAATATGAAGAAGTTTCAAAGTCGTCTTTGACACACACCATTCCTTACAGCACCTGTGATACTTTTTCTCCAGTTATTGCTACGTACAGGATTAAACACAAGGTTTTAGTTGCCTTTGCATGTGTTTGTGACAGGTGCCAGGTGGGCAGGATCCGCTCAACTTTTCGCGCACACCTGGTTACATCACCATACACTGTATTTCACAGTGATTCATAAAAAAACATGCTTAAAAAACTCATTCTTGTGATATTGAAAGTTTTCTCGCTTTATTTAGTTGAAAATGGAAGCGCGATGGAGAGGGTTATTCCCCACCCCGCGTGTTTACAGTTTTAACTAAACCCGAGGTAAAGTGCTTTAGTTGTCTAATAAGCCGAAAGAAAAACTTGAAACAACATTTATCAACAAATGTTTGTTGCCAACACGCTTTCAATGAACCTTAGGAAGCGGACGTAAAATAACTCTTGCTGGCGTACATGTACTTGGATTCTTAAAAACATTGTGTTTTATCAGCGCTTCAGTAGCCTTGTGGTTCACTCACTTGGGGTTCACTCACTGGGGGTTCACTCACTAGGGGTTCACTCACTGGGGGTTCACTCACAAGGGGTTCACTCACTAGGGGTTCACTCACAAGGGGTTCACTCACAAGGGGCTCACTCACTAGGGGTTCACTCACTAGGGGCTCACTCACTAGGGGTTCACTCACAAGGGGTTTACTCACTGGGGGTTCACTCACAAGGGGTTCACTCACTGGGGGTTCACTCACTAGGGGCTCACTCACTAGGGGTTCACTCACAAGAGGTTCACTCACAAGGGGTTCACTCACAAGGGGTTCACTCACTAGGGGCTCACTCACTAGGGGTTCACTCACAAGGGGCTCACTCACTGGGGGTTCACTCACAAGGGGTTCACTCACTGGGGGTTCACTCACAAGGGGTTCACTCACTGGGGGTTCACTCACAAGGGGTTCACTCACTGGGGGCTCACTCACTAGGGGTTCACTCACTAGGGGTTCACTCACTGGGGGTTCACTCACAAGGGGTTCACTCACAAGGGGCTCACTCACTGGGGGTTCACTCACAAGGGGCTCACTCACTAGGGGTTCACTCACAAGGGGTTCACTCACTGGGGGTTCACTCACAAGGGGTTCACTCACTGGGGGTTCACTCACTAGGGGCTCACTCACTAGGGGTTCACTCACAAGGGGTTCACTCACTGGGGGTTCACTCACAAGGGGTTCACTCACCAGGGGCTCACTCACTGGGGGTTCACTCACAAGGGGCTCACTCACTAGGGGTTCACTCACAAGGGGTTCACTCACTGGGGGTTCACTCACAAGGGGTTCACTCACTGGGGGTTCACTCACAAGGGGTTCACTCACTAGGGGCTCACTCACTAGGGGTTCACTCACTAGGGGTTCACTCACTAGGGGCTCACTCACTAGGGGTTCACTCACTAGGGGTTCATTCACAAGGGGTTCATTCACAAGGGGTTCACTCACTAGGGGTTCACTCACTAGGGGTTCAATCACTGGTGGTTCATTCACTATAGGTTCATTCACCATTTACTCCCACAAAAACTAACAATATTGCTACCCCATAACCACAATACTGCTGCTACCATCACAACAACTAACAATACTGCTGCTACCATCACTACAACTAACAATACTGCTGCTACCATCACTACAACCAACAATACTACTGCTACCATCACTACAACTAACAATACTGCTGCTACCATCACTACAACTAACAAAACTGCTGCTACCATCACTACAACTGACAATACTGCTGCTACTATCACTACAACTAACACTACTGCTACTACCATCACTACAACTAACAATACTGCTGCTACCATCACTACAACTAACAATACTGCTGCTACTATCACTACAACTAACACTACTGCTGCTACCATCACTACAACTAACACTACTGCTGCTACCATCACTACAACTAACAATACTGCTGCCACCATCACTACAACTAACAATACTACTGCTACTATCACTACAACTAACAATACTGCTGCTACCATCACTACAACTAACAATACTGCTGCCACCATCACTACAACTAACAATACTACTGCTACCATCACTACAACTAACAATACTGCTGCTACTATCGCTACAACCAACAATACTGCTGCTACCATCACTACAATTAACAATACTGCTGCTACTATCACTACAACTAACAATACTGCTGCTACTATCCCTACAACTAACACTACTGCCACTGTTATCACTACAACTAACAATATTGCTACTACTGCCACTACAACTAACACAACTGCCACTACTATCACTACAACTAACACTACTATCACTACAACTAACACTACTATCACTACAACTGCCACTACTATCACTACAACTAACACTACTGTCACTACAACTAACACTACTATCACTACAACTAACACTACTATCACTACAACTAACCCTTCTGCCACTACAACTAACACTACTGCTACGGTTATCACTACAACTCAAACCACAACTAACAATACTGTCACTACGCTATCCACTATCAATATTGCAAACAATACTGCTTCCACTACCACTACTGCAACCACTACCACTACTACTACTACTAACGCTACTACTACTACTACTACTACTACTACCTGTCAGCACTATACCCTTGTATTCCATCAAAGTAGTGACAATCCTCCCACATTTAGCGGACACACATTGCTATAGCCGAAACACTCTTCAAAGTAAAACCCTTCTCACTAACTAACAATGTATACTCTCTTCTTCAGACAAGGCAGGGAAGAGCAAGTGCAAGATTAAGATAGACAATGCCTCTGTGATACTCTTGGATGACCGGAGGGATTTTCCTCGGTTATCTCCCCGCCCGTCACTCTCCAATCTCTCGGAGGCGCGCCTGCGCGGAAGCCTGGTTCCAACCATCGAAGAGGAAGACTCCCTCAGCCCGGATAAGTCGGAGATCGAGGAGATCAAGGAAAGCAAGGAGAAGAAGGTTAAATCAGGGAAAGAAATGAATGGAATAGGCACAAGTGATGGCAAATCCAGTGTATAATGAATGCGAAACTCTAGCTAAACCGTGATACAATTATAAAGGCAGAATATGTGTCCCTTGATAATCCGGGGGTGTTATTCACACGATGCAATAGATGTGACTCGCCATATTTCAAGATTGTGGACAATCACTCTGGGATCATTAAGCGCTCAGTGGATACAGGTTTTCTGAACCTTTCAGAAACTGACTGAAAGATTCACTTGTTGTTACGGAATGTAGGAGTGGCGCCATTAGCGAAGTATGTGCGTGGGCAACTGCTTATTTTCAAAATGGCAGATCACAAATGGAGTGCATGGAATTGAAATTTCAACACTTTTACCGAGCATTGTCGCCGAGCTGGAGAAGGCCAGTATGGATCCCACAGACACCGGGTGTTAACGTGTTAAACACGGGATTAACAATACTGGATATAGTACCCTTTCATCTCGATATGTCTGTGATGTCATAGGTGACGTCATAACTCGACGATATCATCCTTTGATATTCTCACTGCGTGTTTTCCATACATTAGCACCTTGGATCGTACCTTCAACTGAAATACGACATCCACACATTTATATAAATTGATTATCGCAATTTGTTAGATATGTTATTTATTCATAGTTTATTATTACCACACCGGTGCACCGCACCTAATGCAGAAATGTGTCTTTCAGCAGTTGTAAATATTCATATCAGTCCACTGAACAGTTGAGAGGCCTGGCAGCACGGACTAGTAGTGATACAGACGGCTTATTGTGTTACTTACGTCGTGGTGTAAAAAGTGTAGATATTGCCTGAACGTTCAGGTCTCTCAACGCCATGGAGACTAGTTACCTGAGCTTGGTATATTGCAGTGCATAAGGACACCCCCACCGTCTGTATTTCTCCACCATGTGTGGTAGTTAGGGTGACACGGCACCCTCGTTGTGCACGGCGTTCCCATGCAAGGGAGGTAACCCATTTCATCAAGGGAGACAACCCATGTCGATTAAGTTTGAAAACCATTGACGTAAATGCCTCTACTGAAACAAGATATCCCGTGAACGGCAGTGCCATTATTATATTCCAGATATTTACGTGTTTAGTCTTAGGTGTCTCTGAGGATTCACACACAGTTCACACTTTTGTTAAGTGTAGGTACCTTGGATTGATTCCTTTTACTATTCAGTGTTTTTATTTGGTTTGTTTTTAACGAAACACTATAAACAAACATATTTTATTTGAATGTAGTTTTATATTTAACAATTCGTAGTGGTACCCATCTTGAAATATAATGATAAGGCGATTCGTAACAACTGTTGACTCAGCGGTCTGCTGCCTGTGATCAGTTTACCCCGAGATTGTCACCACGGTCTAGTGCCTGTGTCCGGTCTATGCCCAGATTGTCACCACGGTCTAGTGCCTGTGTCCGGTACATGGCCAGATTGTTACCACGGCCTAGTGCCTGTGTCCAGTCCATGCCCAGATTGTCACCACGGTCTAGTGCCTGTGTCCGGTACATGGCCAGATTGTTACCACGGCCTAGTGCCTGTGTCCAGTCCATGCCCAGATTGTCACCACGGTCTAGTGTCTGTGTCCAGTCTATACCCAGATTATCACCATGGTTTAGTGCCTGTTCACAGTCTATGCCTAGATTGTCACCACGATCTAGTTCCTGTGTCCAGTCTATGCCCAGATTGTCACCACGGTCTAGAGTCTGTGTCCAGTCTATACCCAGATTATCACCATGGTTTAGTGCCTGTTCACAGTCTATGCCTAGATTGTCACCACGATCTAGTTCCTGTGTCCAGTCTATGCCCAGATTGTCACCACGGTCTAGTGCCCGTGTCCACTCTATGCCCAAATTGTCACCACGGTCTAGTGCCTGTGTCCGGTCTATGCCCAGATTGTCACCACGGTCTAGTTCTTGTGTCCAGTCCCTGCCCAGATTGTCACCACAGTCTAGTTCCTGTGTCCACTCTATGCCCAGATTGTCACCACGGTCTAGTTCCTGTGTCCAGTCTATGCCCAGATTGTCACCACGGTCTAGTTCCTGTGTTCAGTCCATGCCCAGATTGTCAACACGGTCTAGTGCCTGTGTCCAGTCCATGCCCAGATTATCACCACGGTCTAGTTCCTATGTCCAGTCCATGCCCAGATTGTCACCACTGTCTAGTGCCTGTGTCCAGTCTATGCACAGATTGTCACCACGGCCTAGTGCCTGTGACCAGTCTATGCCCAAATTGCCACCACAGTCTAGTTCCTGTGTCCACTCTATGCCCAGATTGTCACCACGGTCTAGTTCCTGTGTCCAGTCCATGCCCAGATTGTCACCACGGTCTAGTTCCTGTGTCCAGTCCATGCCCAGATTGTCACCACAGTCTGGTGCCTCTCTCAGACCTATGCCTTGATTGTCTCAACAGTCTAGCTCCTATGTCAAGTCATTGCCTATATTGTTCATGACATGGATCATACGGGTTATTTGTTCAGGCTGGATATAGAAAATCCAAATGTGTTTGCAATTTTCTGTTTAAAACGGGGTTTCTGGCGACCGACGACGACAGCAGCCATTGTGACACCCCGACTTCCGGCGACGAGTCCACCCATAACGAGGGACATACAGCCTGTTTCTTCGATTCTGTCCCGATCTAAACCTTGTAATGATGTCTTGTGTAAAAGTGAGACATTAATTCTAGTTATTTTGGTTAATCATAAACCCGATTGATCCATACAGTAGTAATGCTTGAGACAAATTGGTGTTCGAACGACGGGGGTAAATTTGCTTGGCCTGCCACTTTTTCATAGCCTAGCCCAGCTTTAAATGACATGGGTAGTATAATTCGGTATCTGGTTGAGAGACAAGTGCCTTGTAGATAAACAACGAATGACAACACATCTATATCTAATTTCGACAAAGAGCGTAGACGGGTCATTCATGTACAGTGTCCAAATTTACATGTTAGTAGTTTAGACTTAAAAGCCTTCGTTTTATTATTTCGGGTGTTTTATATTACAGTCGGTTTAAGTAAAATGTTTAATGATTGAAACTCGGGAAAATGTGTTCTGTGAGTGCAGTTTAGATGGGTATTGTGTATCGGATGTAGTTTTCTGAATCAATTACCTCATTGTAATCCCAATGGCCTATTGCTTTTCATGTTCCATTAGATACACTTTGCACAACGAGGCTGTCGTGTTTTACTCAGCTTAGAATGTTTGTGTCACGTGACTACTCATGGATCACTGACTAGCGGATGTGACATGACGTCACTTCCTGAGACAAAGCCATGCCGCTGATTTGAACATATTGATGGTTTTATATTTGAAAACATCTCGTTTATGTGTGTTATGATTTTCATTATGTAAATCTATGGCAATAACTTGGATTTTTTTCAACAGCAGTGCAACAATTTAGGATGGCGAGAACGAATGTACATTCCTAGTTTGTTGTGTTTCAAGTCTTGATATGTTTAAAGACTATGTTTCAGCAATCGTTTTGCGATCACGTATGTTCCCTTAACAATACATGACCGGACTGCCGTTGTGTTGCACTTGAGCCCTGATCAAGATCACTCAATTTCCACACCCATCTCCGATGCACTTCAGTCAGCCAATAGTGTTATCTGCTAAACGGTACAACAATTAGTTATCAGTCAGTCAATACCAAAGTTTCTGCCAACATGTTATAACACTCGTGAGTGTATGAACAATCTTTTCATACAAAGACGTGTTATTGTGGGGGGATATGACAATTCATACGAGATGTCCCAAGGCCGTGGGTGCCCCCCTCCCCCCTCCCCCTCCCCCTCCTCCCCATTCCCCACCCCCACCCCATCCCCAAACACACACACACTTTTTCTCCGCTTTTTATAAAAAAAATTCAAAAGGCGAATTTTGCAACATATTTTCCACTAAAACATATGACATGGGAACAAATATTTTTTATCTGAAGTACTCATTCTCAATTCAGTCTTAATTTTGTTATTATTACATAACATCAAATCCATTTCAGTACTAGTGTACACTTTAATTGGGAGAACGGGTGTTTGTTGTACTAGGGATTGGTAACATAAGGGACTGGTCATTAAGGGGGAAGGAGTGGAAAAAAGGACAGCGACGAGGGTGGGGGTCCCTAAAATGTATCACAACTATATTGGTGGGTGGTGTAGCATGAAATTTAAAAAATGATACAGTTCTGAGTTTTGTCAATTATGGAACTTTACTTAGGGACTGATCATTTATTACCGGACCCGTTAAGATCCAGGGTAGAATAGATCTTCAGCAACCCATGGTTGCCGTAAAAGGCGACTATGCTTGTCGTAAAAGGCGACTAACGGGATCGGGTGGTCAGGCTCGCTGACTTGGTTGATGCATGTCATCGATCCCAATTGCGTGGATCGATGCTCATGATATTAATCACTGGATTGTCTGGTCGAGACTCGATTATTTACAGACCGCCGTCATATAGCTGGTATATTGCTGAGTGCGGCGTTAAACAACAAACCAACCAACCAATTTATTACCAGGAGGGTGGTTCATCACGAAACGTTACATAAATTGGGAAAAATAAATAACGATACAATCCCAATCTCACTCACTACCACCCCCAACCCCCATCCCCTCTCCCTTGATGATTGACAAGTCCCTAAGTGGACATGTTTTAATGGCACCCCTACCAGTTAACTACGGCCTTCGTTGTGATACAACAATTAATCGTGCCCTCGGCAAGCATAACTATGACAAAATATACATTTACAACTGATGACCGATTGGAAACCTGTTATCTTCTTTGGACATATGTATTGAGGGAGCCGACGAACAATTTTGATGCAACGCAATCATACTTAGAGGTGACTATCCAGATACAAAGTTGTTATTTTTATGATATTGCGCTAGTTTAAATGCCAGTGTGTTAGAGTTATAACTATATTGCAATAGTGGAAAAAACAATCGCAGTGTAGATACAGCTGTTGCAATGTATCTTTTACCCGGAACTTGTCGGGGAGTTAAGGGGGCAACTCTGGATAATACCTGCCTCATCAAGGAGGGTGATCCTTTTTATCCCAAATAATGAAAATTAAAATTACCACTAAGAGACCGA